AGTCTGGGATTCCCCTGTGGATCCTCACCTTGTTCCAGGCCATTTATATGCTGAGGTCAGTGCTGGTGGCATGACACTGTCACAGCAAAGTCTCCTCCAAAACGAGGGGCCTGGACCACTGACCTCCCCGGCAAGTCCTCAGGCCAACAAGTGCCTGGCATTTTTTGGCTGGTGCAGTTTCTGCGTGGCCTAGGAATGATCTCCTAGGGTTATTTCTGACTCACAGGGCAGGAAACATTTCGGGGTTTAAGCCAAGCTGAATAATATGCTCATTTCCTTGTGCCGACTACAAAGCACCTGCTCCGGGGGATTTATGGAGTGCCGGCCTCTCGCAGTCACTGTGCCTGCCCGGATGTTTTTATTTTCCTGGTATGGCCAGCAAGTGCCAAGGTCTGTTTTCCTAAACACCCCGTGACCTCCTGGCACGTTTCTTTGAGGGGAGCCCAGGCAGAGCCACGGGCTGCAGCACACCCATGCTGGGAGAGCCGGGGTGGGTGCCAGCACCCTGCCAGGGCTGAGGGCAGCAGGAGTGCCAACACCACTGATGCCAAAACCTGGCCGGGTGCAGAGCAGCCACAGCTATGATAAATGACCTGGGAAAGTCCCAAAGGAATGGAACATGGGCATGGGGAAGGGAGGATGAGAGCATGTGAGAAGAGGGCAAGAGGGCATGAGAGGCCAAGTGGGACAGAGGGACAGAGACAGGGAGCCCATGCCATGACTGGGGACCTGCAGACAGCACCCCGCAGCAGGTCCTGTCCCATGGCAGGGAACCCACACACCCCCTCCAAAGAGGGTCACAGAGCCCCTGGGAAATGCTGTGCCTAGCCTCTGGGGTCAGAAACCTCATCCTGCAAGGAGGGTCAGGGTGCTGAGGCCAGGGACACCCGTGGAAGACACAAGGCACACCAGCATGCCTTGCAGCCCATGCTTCTCCACCACACTGAGCTTCATCCAGGAGGCAGACAGTCTGCAGAGTAAGGCGACATCACTTTTTTCTCACATCCCCTCTATTTGTCCCCTTTTTGGAGCAACAGTCTCATTGCAGGTGGGGCTGTACTCCAGCCTCTGTGAGCCATCCCATCTGGCTTGCCAGCTGTGGGATGAAGGATGCCATGAGCCAGCTGCCATTCCCTGGCTAGCCCTTTGTCTTCCCTTCCCAGCTCCTGACTGCCTATCTCTTCCTCACCCCTCTGCTCACCTCTCCCCAGGGTCTGGCCATACCAGTGGGCAGTGAGCATTGATGAATGGTCATTCCTCAGAGCCAGCACTTACCTGCACCTGCCCTGGTGCTCTGGTGCTTGAAACATCCTCAAGGTGCTGGGCAAGGAAAGGAGCCCACATCCCAGAGCTGCTTCAGGGTCCACAGCAACACCAATGTAGTTTGGTCCAGTGATAAACTGGAGTTTTGGATTTTTTTTTTTTTTTTTTTTTGTTCAGAGGGAAAATAAAATATCTTTGGGGACCAGGAGCCAAGCTCCCCAGTGCCTAAAACAGCAATCACAGCACTTCCTCGGATTTATGGTGTTTGCTTTCACAATGCCAGCCGGGATCCTGTTTGCTTCCTGCTCTGCAGCTGCAGCTCCAGCTGAAGGCTCAGGAGATTCAGGTTTTATAACCCTCCTGGATGCTGCTGATGGCAACTTGTCCAGCATCAATTATTACCCCCTGATCCTCCTGCGGCGCTGGGGTGGGCTGATGTCACCTCATCCCAGCACCTCTGGCTTGGGTGCTCTTCCTTCCCCATCCATGGGGTCCCATCCCTGGCACTGGGCATTCTGCTGCTCTGCAGAGGGATTGCTGGGAGAGAAGAACAGCCAAGCTGTGTCCCTGGTGGGGTGCAGCACCCAGCTTTTCTCAGGCACAGCTACAGTCTGAACCCAGGCCAGGCAGGAGAGCTGGGTCCTGCTGGGAGGATGCTGAGGTGTGGATGTGACCTTCTGCAGGATCCTGGGATACTCAAAGGTGGTGACTGCTCCTCACTGGCACACATGTGGACAGGCAGTGATCCCTTCTGTGGGGCTCTGCCTGGTAAATCAAAGTGACTGAACTTCTAGGAAGGCACTTCTTCCAGCCCCTTCGTCCTTTCTGTGGTTCTTTCCCAGATCTCAGTTGTTCCCCAAGATGCAAGACCAACAGCAGCTGATTCCTTTCAGTCTCTGCAGCAAAACCTCCTCCAGGCTGGCACAGCAGGACAGAGTGTCAGCTCCTCCTGCCACGGTACTCTCAAGAGCCCAGGCAGAAGCTCTGAAGCACCAAGTCCAATTGCAATTATTGCTTTCCAAATTAGGAGCCCCCTCTGTACAACCTGGATCAAAACGCTCTGGTTCACCCAGGGGATTGTGTGCACTGGGGACAGGTGGGTGCCCAGGAATGCAGAAGTGGGGAAAGGAAAGTGGTCAGGAGGGGGAATAGCAGGATCAGCAGGCTATGGGGGACCACCAGCCCCTTTCTTTATGCACACCCACAGTGTGGATGGTGCCCCATGGCCTGGTCCCTTTGCAGTGTGCCAAGAGATGTCCTGACACTCCTCTTTTTCTCTGCATTTTCCCCAGCAAAGCACTTTGGTGAAAAAACCCAATGGCCATGAATGGACTCGTAGCTTTAACCCTCTATTTAATGAACCATAATGGCTACAGAAATCCTGAGAACATCTCTCTGTGTCCCTGATGGAGCAGGGGCAATGCCCTTCCCCGCAGCCAAGAGACACTGTCGCCTTAGGTTTTGAGGACTCTTCTGGAAGCCTGTACAAATCCTGTGGGCCTCTGAGTGAAACCCACCACTTTTTTTTTTAACATTTGCTGTTCTTGTTGATGAAACAATGATGGATTATTTCTGTGCAGTTACTAGCATGCCAGACTTCTTTTTCCAAACACACAATAGGAATATTAATTCACTGCTCTGACGACGAACACTTTTATCCTCCTTATATAGTAACAACTCTGCACCAAAGGGCAAGTTCCATTTGTCACTGATACACTCCACCATCTCGTGGCTCAACGGTCAGCAGGGTGTGCCCAGCATTTCCCTGATTTGTTATCAGCCTTTCCTAACAGATCCCACACTCGCTGCCATCCAGCCACCCCGCCGAGGGACACGGCATCACCCGTGGCACTAGAGCAGGGCTGGGGTAATTCTCTAAGGGGAAGAAGGCACGAAAAGCCAGGGCTTCTCCCTCAGCAGTGAGAGCACAAGCTGCAGGAGATGGATGCAATGAGATGGCAAAGGGGCCCAGAGCACCAAAGGGAAGGGACTATGCCTTCAAATCCGAAGGTGGTGAATCCAAAGCGGATAAAGCGGATAAAAGGAAGCATTTTTCTTTCTCACTCTGTGCTTAATTAGACTGCCACAGGAAAATGCTCGGGCCAAAATTTAGCAGGATTCAATGAGGGATTGGGCACTTATAGGGATAAGAAAAATATCCAGCTATAATAGTGAATGCCAATACAAATTCTGGAAGGGATATTGAGCCTCACGCGTCAAGGTGTAAATGTATCCCAAACTCTCAGGAACAGGGAGCTTAAAGCAGGGGCAGATGACCCACATATGCCACTGCTGCTGATGCTGCCTCACTGCCGGCACGGCCCTGTGCTGGCTGAGCCCTGGCTGGACCATCCCCAGAGCCCTGTTTCCTGCTGCTGGCAGCACCTCTGACAAGGGCTGCGAATTTCTTTTGGCTAGTCAGCCCTTTGCTTGTAGCTCTCCGGAGCCATGTGGCTCCCAGGGCTCTGACCTTCTCCCTCTTGCACTTCAGCTCACTTTGCCAGCTGATAACAGCATTACCACTTCTACACAGAGGCAGCTCCTCCGGGTGAGGTCCACAGGTCTGTGAGGTCCACAGGCACAACCCTGGGTGATGTGGCACCTTCCCACTGGTCCTTGCTTCCAGTCAAGTCCCTCGTTTACCTCTCAGGTTACCTGTTGCATAAAAGCACTTTTGCCTCCTAATTTAACCCTCCTGTTTCCTACTTCTGTTGGGGCCAGTCTTCAGCCCCTGGAAAAGGGTGCTCAGCCTCAGTACCTTGTGGGTGCTCCAGGTGCACAGGCACAGTCCTCTTTCATGGGCACTGCTCAGACGAGCCCTGGTTCATTCTCCTATTCTGCATCAGTTGTAGTTGCTGCACTGTCTGCTCTGGTCACAGCACCAAATATGTCAGAGCTCAGTAAGTGCTTGGACAACATCTCAGGCACATGCTGGGATTCTTGGGGTGTCCTGCACAGGGCCAGGAGTTGGACATGGTGATCCTGATGGGCTTCTTCCAACTCAGCATATTCTATGATTGTGTGATTTTGTGATTCTATGACTTTGTGATCCTGTGATTTTAAACCTGCTGTCCCCATCCCCAGCCCATGCATGGCCATGAACCTGGCACAGCTGCAGCCCAGGCTGGGGTGGAAGTGCCATGATGTGGTACTCAGGAGTGGGTGCAAGCACCTCCGTCCCCAAATGAGGATGGTGCCATTTGCATCCCACACTGCTAGCAGAATGCTCGTGCTGCTCGGGTCACTGCGAGATGGGATGTTCCCAAAACCCTGGCTTGCTGTGAAGGAGCAGTGACGGCTCAGCATGACCAGAGGGGAGCCTGGAGCTCTCCTGGTCAGGAGCCAGGGTCTCCCGTGCTTGCTGCTTACGTGCTCACCACACTGCAGAGGGCAACGCTGCTGGGGACCTTTGGATCTCCCCTTGCTGTGGAGCTTTGCACCCACAGGGGCTTCCAACTGGAGAAATTTCTGGAGGGCATGAATCAGCTTTTCACAGCTTGTTAAAAATCTTGATCCTACCTCTTGTTTTCATGCCTTTCAAATCAGGAAATGAGTTTTACAACTTTTCCAGTGGGGCACAGCTGGTGGCCAGGGTCGTAAAGCTGAACTTTATAAATATCTCTCTCATTGGGATCAGGGGAAGAGCATTAAAAAGGCAGAGAGAGAGAAAGAGAAAGAGAAGGCAAAGGAGCAAAGGCAATAGAGAAGCAAAGCGAACAAGTCCAGCTCAACCATCTATGGCCATGCAAGCACAGAAGATGAGGTGTGCTTGGGGCAGGCTTTGCCTGCTGCTTTCCCTGCTCCTCCAGCTGCCGGGCTCCCAGGCCAAATGCTACTTCCAGGCTAAAGGTAAGTGGGGAATTGAGATGGGGAGAGGCTGATGGGAAGAGGAGGCCTCAGCTTTCCCAGCATGGCAGGGCTCTTCCTTATGCCTGAGAAGTATGGAAGGGACGGTGCTGAGCTCAGGAATGGGATCGTGGGCCAGTGGTGAGTGGAAGGAGCAGTCTATAAACCACAGAACAGCTCCCCAGAGCTCTGGCTGAGAAACAGCTTTCTGGGCCATGAAGGCTCCTGGCAGGCGTGTGGCTGGGGCCGAGTGTGTAGGACTAGCAGCAAAGGGAGGAGGGTGGCTCATCATCCCTCTGCTGTCTCCTCCCAGGGCTGCAGAAATGCCCAGACCCTAAGGGGTGCTGGATTTGTCCTCTCCAGGGAAGCAAGAGCCACTTGCTTCTTGCTCTAGACCCATGGGGTAGTAGTGAGAGCCACAGGGCAGGGCCAGGAGAGGATGGATGGGTACAGCACCCATGAGAGATGACAGGGCATTCCACACCTGCAGGATGGTGGATAGACCACCATACATCTTCCATAGCACAAGCTGAGTGAGAGGTCATCATGATACTTCTGCCCCTGCTCAGGGCACAGGGGTGTCAAGGAGGCTTCCACTCGCCCTCAGCACAGGCCCATGTGTTCTCATCACCACTGTTTCTTTTGCAGCTCCCTGTGAGTACGAAGGGAAACAGTTCTCCCTTGGGGAATCGTGGCTGAGCACCAACTGCCTGCTCTGCACCTGCCTGCACCCCGTTGGCGTGGGCTGCTGTGAGACGTGAGTGAGGGGCCGGGCTGGGGTGGGCTGTCACCTCCCACCAGCACCCTGTGTCTGCAGCAGCGGGTGTCTGCTGGCTGCAAAGGCAGCTGATATCAGAGCTTGGGAGGGCTGTGGGGCACCAGGTCCTGGCGAACAAGAGGCACGGGTGGGCAGGACCCCAGAAGGGCACTGAGGGTGGTGGGGTGAGTTGGGGCAGTTGGAAAGGGTGTTTGAGCATAGCAAGATGCCCAGATGTGCCAGGAGCCGTGTCCCAGCTGCCTGAGCTGGTCTGGAAGACAGCCTGTGCAGGGGGCTGGCAGCAGTCAGCAGCCCCCGGCACTAACCAGGGCTACTGACGGCAGCGTGTCCTCTCCCGCAGCACCCAGCACCCCATCGACTTCCCCGACTGGTGCGAGGCTCACTACGACTCACAGACCTGCCAGATCTCGGTAGTGCAGAAGGCCAACCCCAGCCTGCCGTGCGTGAAGAGCGTGGAGCACGAGTGGGGCTCGGCCAGCACCCCCGAGCCGCTGGTGAACAAGCTGCTGGGCGCGGGGCTGAGCAGATAGAGAGCCTCGGCAGCGCCCGCGCCTCGGCGCCGCGCTCCCCCCTCCAGAGCACACCGCCCGCATGCTCCAGACCTGCCCCACACACCCTGTAGAGGCATCACCGCCGGCACCTCCGAAGGAAACCACTATCCACACACCACGGTACCCAGCTCTTCTTCTGCCTTCAGCTTCCTGAACCAGGGCGTCCTCCCTGTGAGGTGTTCTGCACACCGTGGAAATGCAGATTCTACAGGATCTCCTCCTCCAGGTGGGCAGAAAACCTCCCGTGACTAAAAAAGGCTACAGGACTAAATCAGCCTGCTCCATGGTAGTCCTGCATTCCGATATCCAGCCCCCAGCAAAGCAGCTCCCTACTCTCTCCCAGACCTGTACTCCCCTGCACAGCAGCCGTGGGCAGCTCACTGGGGTCACCACGGCTCCCCGTGCAGGATCCCCACACCCTGTCCAGCCCCTCTCTGCTCCTGGAGTGCAAGGGGCACAACCCACCTCTGGAACCACTAATGCCCCGCTCCAAAAGCTCCTGGGGTCCCTGGCACTGCAGGCCAGCCCTGGGCAACACTGCAACAGAGCCAGCCCAGGGCGGGCGGCAGAACAGGATGTCCCCAGGGGAGAGTCCCATCCCCACTGGCAAGGGAGCAGGGTGGAGAGGGTTCAGGAAGCGGAAGCAATCCAAGTGCCAGCGTGGAGACAGCCACCCTGGCAGCTGCCCCAGCTGGTGCCATGCCTGTGTTGTGCAGAGCCTTGTGTAGATGTTTCTGTTCTTGCAATAAAAGATACTGAACAAAGAGGTCTCCAGCCTGTGACTGCTGTAGAAGGTGGGATGTGTCCAGCACCGGGAACAATATAGGAATAAGGCTCTTGGGGGAGCAGAGTTTTGCACGTTCAGATGTTTATTACATTTCCATGCAAAGAGGAAAGCTCATTGGAAAGTTCAGTAAAAAAGGGGAGCTGGTGGTTGAGCAGTGAGATCTCCATGCCAGCTCTTTGACGCACAGCATGAATTCCTTACAGCACCCCAAGGATCCAAGACCAGCAGGATGCTTTCACACCAGGAACCCAGGCAGACAACAGACCAGGCCTGCTCACCAGCACATGCCAGCAGCACAGGGCTGGCCTGCCACAACCTGCCTCCTCCAGGTGGGGGTGGCTGGAGCACTGGGCTCTATGTGTAGGACAACTCTGCAAGAGGCAGGACACACGCCAGGGCAGGAGAGCAGGGTCTCACCCAGCCCAGGTGGCCACTGTGCTTCACCTAGATGCCAGATGTCTGCTTGTAGGGTCTCTGTAAGGGCACAGCCTTCACCCAAGGGTGGTATGAAGCTTCACTGGAAGAGCTCCCCTCTCCCCTCCCTAGGCTGGGCCTTCCTTCTTGGAAGCCCCATATGAGATCAAGGCACATCAGCGGTTCCCTGGGAAGGCAGAATTCCTTTTGCTGAGTGCTGGGACTCGCACCTTACCCAGGCAGGAAGGGTCCAGCTCCAGCTGGGGGCTGCAGCACGAGACACTGCATCAAGCAGTGTTTCTCCAGCCATGGACAGGACAGACATGCCTGGTGCCCACCTGGACATCACAGATGGATCCAAGAGGACACTGGGATCACAGCACACTGGTGACAGTCCTGCCTGCCATTCCCACTGGTGGCACAGGCTTGCAGCTCTGCAAGCCAACAACCTCTCCCTACATCAGATGGTGATGGAGTTAGTGCTGGAGAACTGAGATACGTAGGAAGCCAGGATGGGGTTGGTGGGAAGAACTTTGATGGGCAAGTCCCAGCTGAAGGTGTCCACTTCCATCTGCTCCACCCCAGTCCAGGTGACAGCCTCCGACTGGCTCCCACGAACCAAGCAAGTCCCCGCTGACTCCCCAGAAGTCACAAACTCAAAGTGCAGCCTCCACTTCAGGGACACTGTGGGCAACAGAGTAGTCAGCACATAACACCCACAAGGGCCATGGACAGCAGCTGTCTCAGCACAGCCTGTCCTGGCTAGGGGACAGCAAATGACCCCATTCACACAGGCCAGCTACATCCCAAGGGACACAGCTCTGCTGAGCAAGGGTAGGGCTGGGGACATCACGGTCCTCCTGCAGAGATGAGCAGGAGGGTCCCTTCCCTGGTGGCTACTAACCGATGTTGGTGGTGAATCCTGGGGTTGAGCTGAGTGGGATGGGCAGGCTGAAGCTGCTCTGTGCTGTGTGCAGGCAGGACTCCTGATGGCGGGCGTGCACGGTGAAGGAGACAGGCTGCCCCCGCCGCCGCTGGAACTCCTCCTGGATGCTCTCCTCTGTCTGCAGGCTCACGGAGAACTGCAGGGCGACAGCAGAGTGCTTGCTCTCACAACCTCACACACACTTCGTGCAAAGCCTTGGGGGGTCCATTTCCCAATTTCCCATTGTCCACCTCACACTCCAAGGTGACCCCAACTGGGCCCCACCAGAAACCCTCACAGCTCAGCGCCACCCCAATCCCTTCTCCACATCCCTCACCCTAAACCCCTGCCTCTCCCCAGTAATCCCAGACACAGCAATGACCTGCAGGCATGGGATATCTCCTTCTGAGAAGTTGAAGGTCCCAATGACATCCTCTCCAATCTTATACACAGTCTTAAAGATGCAGAACGTTCCCACCTTTCCCCGAGTGTTGCTGATATTATACAGATCTGTGGAGCAAGAAGAGGGTAAGGGTTGTGGCACAAGGCTCTGCTCTGGGTTAATGACATGATCTCATGCCTCCTGTTTGGGTGTGAAGAACAGTCCCTAGAGGTGGTATTCCCTCTGGGAAATTTCTGCAGTGGGCAAGGGCAAACCCTACACTGGCTGCCATGTGCTGGGCAGAGGGTCTCTGGGTCTGAAGTAGGAACAGCCTGAGACTGGCTAGGAGGCCCTGACCCAAGCAGGCCCTGATAGAGCTGCTCCACAGCCATAGCTGGAAATTCACTTTGTCAGTCAGAAATATTTTGCAGCTGGCCCAGAGATGCTCTCCATGACCAGCTCCTTAGGAAGGACAGCAGGTTTGAGCAGGGAACATGACCTACGCAGGCTGCGTCGGGAGGTGGCCACCATGAGCAGCTCTGTCGCCAGGTCTGCCAGGCGAGAGTCTTTCTTCAAGCCCTCCTCCTCCTCCAGGAAGGGGTTTGAGGGTGCAACAGCCTCATCCTGTGGGAACTGGTAATCCTTGAGCCCTGGGGAGAAGGGGAGAGCATCAGCGGGGCAGGGTGCAGGCCGGCCTGCCCATGCAGGGAGGGCAGCAGGCGGCCTTACCGTGCAGCACGAGGACACGGAAGGGCACGCGCAGCAGCTTGATGGGCGAGTTGACGCGCTGGCAGCCAATGGTCAGCTTGTACACGTACTTCACAGACTGCCCCCGGAAAGAGGGGGGGCCATCCACAGGCAGTGTCTCACAGTATGAATCTGCAATGAGTGCAGAAAATTGGCTTTCCAAAGCCAGAGGGAAGATCCTGCAGCTGCTGTGTGCAGGCTCCCAGCACCAAGCATTAGGACCAGCAGTGCTGAGCTAGGGACAGGCTTGGTGCTTTCTGCTGTCTCCTGTCTCCTCCAGTGGCCAAGCACAACTCAGCTCCTCTGCACCAAGAACACTGCTCCCCACATCACATGCACCATCATCCAGACATTGCTTCCAGCACATACAACCACACACACAAGCTTTGTCTCCAAAGAATGTGAAAGATGTAAAATCCAGGAATACAACCACGAGAGCTAAACTTACTCATCACGAGTTCAACCCAAATTTGCCTCTGTGAACTCCTCTGCCCAGTGCTCTGACCACAGCCTCCTCCAGGCCCCATCCCATGCAGGTATTGATCAGTACTTCATGCCTCTTTTGCTTTTGCTTTACACAAACCCTCAAACTCAGCAACAAGTAAGTTTTCTCCTGTGTTTCTTTGAAGGACTGCAGCTAATGATCAAGAAACAATTCCTGAGACCTTCACATCAACCTGTGGTTTGTTCCCCTTGACAGGTTGATGACTTAGATCACAGTGTCTGACTCTGAGGGCTCTGAGGTACTGGAGCCTGGCTTTCACCACATTCAGCCCTCCTAGAGCCCCTTGGCCACCACACAAACCCCAGTGCCTCTTGACACAGTGTGAACACTTCTGCAGCTTTCCCAAACCACATGCTGTATAACAAGAAAGACACAAACAGTGAACTGTGGAAAGTCTCCACCTCTTTGGCTTGCCCACCGTAACGCAGATACGCCCTGCCAGAGGAAGGGCAGCATCCTGCTCTGAAACCACAGATCCTTCCCCATGTCTGGCACACGCTGAATGCTGAGGCTTAGATCAAAAGTTAGGGTTACATTTTAAATATAACTTCTGGATTTCAAATAACAGGACTGGAAGGAAGAAAAAAGCCTGTGCTAGTGTGTAGTGGCGACAGGATGTCACACCTTAAAACACAAGCCTCTCTTTCTGGACGAGGGTGCAGGTAAAGCAGAGAACTACCCGGAGAAGGAGGAAAATCAGATATTTCCAAGGAAAGAAGCAGACTTCTGTAACCCCTGTTACAAGAGGGCTCAGACCTTCCCACCCAATGAGGATAATCTGAGCAGAGACCACTACAGTCAGAGAAGGACTGACAGTTTGCTACGTGGCTCAGGAATGCCAAGACTCAGGAAGTCCCAGCTTCCGTGCATATCCCAGAAGGAAGCACATTCCTTGCACTACAAATGCCTTCCTTACCCACCTGCTGTGCCCTCTGGCTGGCCTACTGGCCTGTGTCCAGGCTGCTTCCATTTCCTTCCCTCTCTGTGATCTACCAAATTTTTAAAGGTATTACAAAACCAGAGTGGAGGCAAAACAGCCACAGATATTATTTGAGGACTTGAGAAAAAGCTTCAAGGTGACAAACTTAAAAGAGTTCAACCTGGGCCATGTGTCAAAGGGCTGGGATATGAGTCAACTTTAACATATAGGCACCAAAACAAGAGTAAGTTATTGGGGAATAAGTTGGTCAGCAAATGAAAACAAGTCCTTTTATCAAGA